CCATTTGCAAATTTCTTGCCTCTGCCTTGCATTTGCTGCCAGACCGGTTGTTGCGTTCCCTCAAAAAGAACAGTTCGAACTGCACTTTTCGCTGTCAGAGGTTGCACCTCTACTTGAATTTCCCTTTTTGCTCTTTGAGTCAGTTCCATCGTGTAATCGGAGTCTTTTATTGCTTCATGGTTGCGTGTCTCTTTGCGCAGAAGGTCCATTCCTTGCTTAGCAATTCCGCATCTCCGCGCAACAGATCCGTCTCTCTCCCCTGCACACAGACTCGTGGTGGTTTCTGAATTTCTGGAAACATGTGGACGAGCAGGATTCTTCCAGACGCTGTTTGTGTCAACTTTTTGGTGTTTTTCAGTTTGTTTCAAACTGTTAGAATTGCTTTTTTTTTGAGACAGATTACTGACCACACTCGTTTTGTCTCGTTTCCTTCCGTAAACTGTCAGCTCAAGAAAAAAACAATCGGTTTATCTCTACCGCCGAATGGTGTCTTCCATTGCCATAGCCGCCACAACCGTGCGGCGTGCCGTAAAAGCGGTGTCCTGCATGTCAATGTCCACCTTGGCGATCTCTGCATTCTTAGCGCACCAGAGTGTCATAGTCGCGGAGCGCCGTCTAGGCGCTTGGCATGCCTAGAGACGATGACGGCGGTTGCATGAGCCTTTTCTGGAAGCTGCTTGAGTGGGCCATGGACTTTTGGATTTTGGTGCCGTAGTTTGTGCTGAACGGCTAACACCGGCAAAGCCTGTGCGCCACAGCCGTAGTCGACGAGGCCCAGTCAAGCCAAAAAAAAAAACTGACTTAGATGCCTAGCCGCGTGCATTTGTCATTGGACCAAAATCATCTGCTGGTTTGCCTTGGTTGCCGGCCCTCCTGACGCACCGTTTTGAAGGTGTGGCGCCTGGAGCGGCGCACGCAATTGATCCTGGTCCAAGGTCACGTCTCCCAGAACCACGTCTGCTACTTTGACTTTGAGCCTAGAGTCTCAACACCCCCTTAAAAGCCTTGGCTCTAAGGTCAAGTCTCCCAGAACCCCTGCTTTTTTGACTTTGGGACCAGACACTCAACACCGCCTTAAAAGCACTGCCTGTAAGGTCATCTTCCAGAACCACGTCTGCTTTTTGACTTTGGGCCCAAATACTCAACACCCCCTTAGAAGTCTTGGCTCTAAGGTCAAGTCTCCCACTCTAAGGTCAAGTCTTGCAAAACCACGTCTGCTTTTTGGACTTTGGGACCAGACACTCAACACCGCCTTAAAAGCACTGCCTGTGAGATCATCTCCCAGAACCACGTGTGCTTTTTGACTTTGGGCCCAAACACTCAACACCCGCTTAAAAGCCTTGGCTCTGGGGTCAAGTCTTCCAGAACCACGTCTGCTTTGTTCACTGGGTCCAAACATTCAACACCGCCTGAAAAGCCTTGCGTCTACTCGTTCAAGTCTCCGAGAACACGTCTGACTAAACTTTTGCCCACTGGCCAGGGACTCATCAAGTGGAAGTCTTTTGGACGTGTGGTAGTGGTGTATCTGCTGGGTCAGTTTTCATCCAGATGTGCGGCGCATGCATGCAGGATCCGGCGCTGAGCGTTGAAGGTCTGTGGCTGGCGTTGCTTTTGCTAGAATGTGTGTAATTGATCTGTCTGGAGCAGCCTGGCCTGGGGGAATCTCCCGGTAGCATGTGCTCGAGAAAAAACACGAGCTGCGAGGAATGCAAATCACATCCACAAGTCCAGGATGGCCTTGGGCTTTGGACTTGTGGACTTTTTGGCGCACGATCGGGACACAACAGGACCTCGGGGCCGACCGTTGTTCGACGGAACTAGAACGGCGGCCGGAGCCTTGGCTTGGGCTCCACTGACGGTCTTGGGCAACTTTGGGCAACGGCCCTCTGTTGTCGTGGAACGATCGCTGAGGACCCGTAAAAGTGCTGATCGGTTAACCCCGGCAAAGCCTGGGCACCGCAGCTAGCTCCGCCCTCTCTAATTAAGTTCCTTGTTTCACCGCTGTTTTTGTTGTTTGGTCGTTTGTTCGTTTGTAGGGACCGAGTGCTACAGCCGTAGTCGACGAGGCCCGCATAAGCCAAAAAAAGAAGTAAACTCGAAAGCAACCAAAGTCCTTGTCGTTCACCTTGTCAACCATCATTGCAGCTCCCAATGACGCTCTCTATTGAGTCTGTCAACAAAAAGGGAGTCAGCCATTTGCGAAGTGATGATAACACTCGGACTAATACGATCGTTCCAGTTTCTGCTTCGAGCCACCACTGCAACTTTATGGCTGTGCTGTCATGGCAGCCTATCTGCTTGACACGACCTTCAGCTTATCAGCCCTTGGTTTCGTGCCCTTGTGAGGCCCACTGATCTGCTTCTCTGAGCAAAACCACAAACCAACAAAACTGATTCTGTGGTTTCACACCAAAAGATGACCTGTGCAGCCTTTCATTCGCAAAGCTGCAGCGCCAGCAAATGCTTCCCAGCCTGCTTGACACCTGCACTGGTACGCCAGCAGTGCTTTCTTGAAGGCGCGACGTGTTCGGAAACTCCAAGCAGGATCAGCTTCTTCAGTTGGCTTGGATCATTGTCTGTCACTGAACCTTTCAGGTTGTGTTTTTTCAGAGCGGAGTCGCAATTTCCTGATAATGGAGCAAACTAGGTCCAAGGCAGAGAGTCTTTCTGCACAGCAAAGCCTCCCACCAGATTGAGACTCCCGAGAACACGACTGCAATCCCAAAGCAATCACATCTACAAGTTCTGCGCTTTGGACATAGCGTTTTTTTCGACAGTAGTGAAAGATAAACAAGTGTCTGGTGATTCCAGCATTTCCCACTTGTGCAGGTTGTTTCCTAGAAGCTGGGCTGGCTCGTGTCCATCTTTTGATTTCGATCCAGCCTCTAAGTCTTTTTTGGGTGCCGACTCGAAGGATTCTTTTCCAGAATGGTGCTCTGAATCTGCTTTCCGCCGTGTTAAGAGAAATAGTAAACTCTGCGAATTTCCACTTGTCGCGAGACCCACCCCCTGGTGGGAAACTGGACCTGAATTCATCTTCTAAGCACAACCCACTGGGTGTGCTCTCGCTTCTCTTTGATGCGCCTGGCCCTTCTGTCTTGCCATTGCGAACCCGATGGGAAGTTGGGCCTGTGCACAGTGAACAGGAGGGCCATTCTATGCTGCCCGCGCCATGCGATGTTTCATGCGTGTGCCATTGCGCAACTCAGTGTAATTGGGAAGCGGAGCATTTGAGCGGATAGTTGGAGCTCTGCGCATTTTTGCTGGACTGCCGGCTAAGTCTGCTGGTCACGGCCTGTCTCGCCTTTGTTCTATCTTCTTTGTACAATTTATTTAGTTCTTGGCTTCTTGTAGTTTTTGCCACACCAAAAAAAAACCTCGAGGCGAAGTTTGCGTGCCGCAGTCATTTGTTTTCCCTCTTTGTTTCACCGCTGTTTTGGTTGCTTGTTCGTGTAGGGACCGAGTGCTACAGCCAGAGCCGACGAGGCTCGCCCACGCCAAAATCTTGGATCACCGCCAAAATTGACCATGCCAGGACGACCCGGCTCAAAAAGAAAAATCATTCTGTGCTCCTCTGGCATCTGCACACTTTGACTGCAACCTCCTTAAAGGTTGTTTCGGCTCTTGATGCGGTGACCTTTGAGTTGAGGCCTCGTTCGGAGCCCTCGGTCGACGGACATAGTCGTGGTCCGTGGATTCAGGCTAAAGATGAGCAGCCATTATGCAACCGGAAGTGGCTTCGTGCTTGCTTTCGGGAAGCCCAGAACATTGGCAAAGCCATGTTATCTGCTCGAGTCTACAGTGCGTCGCTAGAGTTTGTAAAACCCTAAACCTCAAATCCCGGAAATCGAACATATGAAGGCTTGAGAGTTCAGCATTCATATGTTTCCAGACTTGGAATATGTCTTCTGGGGGTAGGTGCTGAAAGGAAGTGTATTGAATGTTGCAAACGGTAGGGTCTCTTTTCCGCAACGCCGTCTTCAGGTCACCTTAAACTCCATCCCCTGAACCCAAACCCTAAACTCGGAGCTCTTTTGGACCGTACTGTAAGGCTTTGAGATGTTGCGCATTTCGCATATCAACGGCGAGTTGCAGACCCAAGGTTGTTTGAGTCGCAGGAGCTGTGCTCTCTGTGCTGTCTTTGTTCACGTGAGGGGCGCATCACCGGAATGGCACTAGCAAGTAGTTCAAACGGAGCACGATATGGGAGTTTCCGAAAATTAGGGGTACCTGATTTTGGGGTCCTGAAAACAAGAATCCTACTATTAGGGAACTATATATATATATATATATATATATACGGGTCCCTATTTTCGGTGCCTGCAATCCGGCATAATTGTGCCTTCAGAGGGGCCTTTCATCGTGCCACGATCGAAGATCCGTGCACCGTTCCAGATCCTTTTTATGGGCGTATGGGGACAGGTAGGCAAGGGCCCCTTGGGGTAATGTCAGGCGTCAGCTGCTTCTGAAGCTTGAACATCGAGATTTGTAACCAAAGAAGACCCGTTCGAAACGCAGACATGACTGATGACACCAAGGAAGGCCAATGTGTGTGACCGTCAACTCCCCAACACGCCCCATCAGCGATTGGTCAAAGTCCGGGTGCCCCCTTCTTGCATTCAATGGCGGTGTTCATCCTGAGCATTAACCCCGAAGCCCAAGTCATCAGGTACTTTTCTTCAAGTCCGAAGCCCCAGACACCCTTGAAAGGAATGCATCTCCGATTTCCGACCAAGACTGGACCTGCGCTGGGAAAACAGTTCGAGCAGCAGCATGTTGGACTCGGGCCGGGTGCGGGTTGAGATCTCGGATCCTTGGGTCTTGGGTGGGTGCTTGAGTCCTCTGTGGGCTGCTTTGGGCTCGAGCATCTGACTCCCGTGGTGTGGCGCATTTGCTGTGGCTTTTCGCAGCGTGTTCCGGGACCCCACGTGTGCCTCCAATCAAAGTAGCCGAACGCGTCGATAGAGCGGCTCGACCAAAGCTTCAAGTCGTAGTCGCCGATGGTGCCGTCTGGGCCGGCAGTCCCGACGGTGTGCGAAATCGATGACAGGGCAAGTTGCATTGTTTGGCCTGCAGCCCGCGTACTCCGGCAATGGCTGCGCACGACTCTGAAGGAGAGCCTGGGCTCGGAGCTCGAAGGCTCCACGATTCTGGAGCTTGGAGCTGGGACGGGCTTCCTGTCACTTGCTTTGACGCAAGAAGGCGTGAGGAGGGTGTTTGCTGCCGAGGGTGACGAGGATGCTTGGGAGAATCTGACGCAGAACGTGGGCACTGCCTCGCAGGTACAGCCGGTGCTGTGGAACTGGGAAAGAGATCCAGCGATACCTGACGAAATCCCTGTTCATTCTCTTCATCTCATCGTGGGTTCCGATCTGGTGTATCCCAGGTACTACAACGAGCGCGCTTTGGCAGAGCTGATCCGGCGTCTGGTCGACCTGATGTCGCCTGCTTGGCACGTTCCCGTCATACTCCTTCTCTGTGCTCCTGGGGTTCTGGTTACAGAGTTTTCAAGTTGCCAAGACAACTCTACGGTCATTACAGTAACTCATCAACCAGTCAACCTGTCTGCATATACTTACATACACATGCACAGAATCATATGTATATATATATATGTATGGCTATGTATATATATATATATATATAAATACATATATATGTATGTATGTATGTATGTATGTAATTATTTATTTATGTTTTTGTGCAAGAACCCAGGATCGGGAGGAGGCATCGGGGCCCCGAAGCCTGGAGAGTTTTCTGGGCTTCTGCGATGCTTTGGGCATCGGCTTTCAGGAGCTGCCCCTGAGCAGAAGGCTTCTGGAGGGGGCCCTTGGGCCCTTAGACGGCCGAGCCTGCCACGAGGACCCCGGAGGAGCCGTGGGCACCTTGAGCCAGCTGAGGCTCTTCTGCTTTGAGCCGGGGGAAAAAAACCATAGCTTTGTGCTTTCCCGGAACGCCAGAAGAAGCTATGGGGAGTTGTGATGATGTCACTCGATGTGAAACTGTCGACCCCTTGCTACACACAGGTTCAGGACGTGCTTGTTTCCAACCTGTCAGAGTCATGTCTAAGTTTCTGTGCATGCTGACAGGGGTTACCTGTGATTGCCGTGTGGCAGACCTGTTCAACATTGCGAGGATCGCCAGCCCTCTTCTGTGCCGCGCAAGCTAGATGTAGTGCATGCGTAAGTTTCTGATATAGTGTATCTCCATGAGCATATCAGCAAGGAGAACCACTATCAGTGTCAGCACGGCGAGTCGTGTTTTGACTGCATCTGCTCAGCTTGACGTGAGGCTCTGAGCTTGCTATCATGCAGCGTCGATGTTGTGACCCAATATCTCGGCAGGCAGATAGCTGTATATGTAGGGATCACACACTTTCAAGCGGCATCCAGCAGTCTTCGTGACGATGGACCCTGAACAGGGCGCAACCCTCATCGATCCATTGCTGTGTTGTTTGAAGCACGACATGTCGGAAGACGCGGCACCGGAGCAAGATGCCGTTGCTTGGCGCATCTAACAAAGTTTTTTGAAGTTCCGCAGCAGGCCGTTGCCTTATGGCTTCTGCGAGCCCGAAGATCTTTGGCCCTAAACCCTAAAACCTACCTGGACCCTAAGGAACCTGCCTTTTTAGGGTTCCCTAATATGATTTCTTTACATAAGTCCCTTAAAAAGGTAGGTTCCTTGGGGTTAAGGTACCCTAAACCCTAAACCCTAGACCGCCTGGGACTTACCAGGTACCAGGCGACGCTTCGTCAAGTGACGGCGAGGCCAAGGTACCCGGGTTTAGGGTTTAGGGTTTAGGGATTTAGGGTTTAGGGTTTAGGGTTTAGGGCACACTGTGAGCTCTTGGTGTGTGAGTCGCGCCCGGCGGCTGGCTTTGTAGTGAACTAGTGGTAACAAGCTTCGCTGCTTGTTGAGTTTCATCATCGTCTTCATCGCCTTAGAGCTTGAGTTGTGGTGATCTTACTTCGCGTCTTCGTCGTCGTCGCAGTCGCAGTGGGATCAGAAGCGGCCTGATTTTCCTTTTCAGAAGGACGGACCTCCTGACGATGCAGATGTGACTCTTCGCAAAGTCAGGCCCTCGGTTGTTGTGTTGCCACACCTTCCTGCCGTGGGAAGAGGTTCAATGCTGACGGCTCTAGTCTGCGCGGTTTTCCCCTAGTCTGCATGGTTTACCCCTTAACCAAGTTTCAGTGTTTCTGCCTGAGGTGTTGTTCGATGTGGAGCCAAGACAGTCTGCGAATGGGAGCATGGGCCTTACGTCGCCACCAGCACAGCCCAGCACCGAACAACGGAGGTCCAAGCTTGTTTTCTCGACGGCAAAGGATCCCAATACAAACCACAGATAGTAGGAATCTATCATACGCATCCCAAATATGGTACCCATCGTTTTTGAAGGTAGCATGTTATCATGAAAATGAAATTCGATCTTCAATCGCATGAAGAGTGAACAGTGGAACCTTCGGTACCCTCCCCCGAAAGCGGTCAACATACTGTGGATGATTGAAGGTTTACCGTCGCCAAGCAAGAGACGTCGAAGTCGGCAGGCTGCGATAGGTGCATTGCCTGAGTTGTAGTGCTCACATGGTTGTATGCAGCCGGATGTTGACATGTGCTGAAGGAATGCAGGGAGCAAGTGGCTGCGGTAGACAGTTGTGTGTGCGTGTGTGTATAGAACATCAACCCTAAAATATTCTATAACATATGACGAAATGCCACAGTATACTATAGTATACTAGAATATTCCAGAAGATGTCTTAATGTACTATAGTACACCATGCTACATTATCATATAGCAAAGTATACTACGATATACTATAATTCACTGTAGTGTACCATCATATTTATTAACATACAGCTATGACATACTGCAATACACCAAGGTACAATGTGGTGTCCTATTGTATACCATAGTACACCATGATATGCAATAATATACCTTAGTTTACTATGATATACCAGAGTATACCACTGTGTACTATGACCCATTATACGCTGCTATAGTGTACTATGATATACTTCTATCTACTGCAGTATACTATGATTTAGTATAGTATGCGATGACATATTCTCATGTACCACAGTATACGATACTGAACTCTGACTATACGATACATAGAACCCTCCCAAAACCCTAAACCCTGTACCAACAGCCCTGATCTCTTGACCTGCTACAGGTGGCCTTGGCACAGTCTGTGTTCCAATTCGCGCGGGGTTAACAGAGGAGCAGGTGGGCCATGCCAGTTCGCTTCAGGGTTAAGGGTTTTAGGGTTTTAGGGTTTTAGGGGTTTAGGGGTTTAGGGTTTAGGATTTGGGGTTTAGAGGTTTAGGGTTTAGGGTTGCTAGGATACGTATCCTCCATACGGGGGGCAACCGTCAAAAAGCCTTTTGTATTAGGAGTCAGGGTTTAGGGCTTTGGGGTCGAGGGAAGCTCCTCTACCTGCTGGTTTTGGTGATCGGAGTGAGAGCAGTAGCCGTGGCAGGGTGGAGGTAGCGTGGAGATAGTGGCACTGGTGGTGCTCGTGGTCGTTGTCGTGGCGATGGTGTTTAGCTGTTGCTTTTGCTGGTGGCTCGTGGTGGCAATTGTGTTCGTCATGGTGATGCTTGTTTCTGTCGTTGTCGTCCTTCTTCTTCTCCTTGTTGTAGTAGCTGTTGTTGCCGTTCCTGCTGCTGCTGCTGCTGCTGCCTGTTTCATTGAGAACAGCGCATGGGCTGCTACTGATGCTTTGGCGGCTGCCCCTGCTCCAGCTGCTGGTGGAGACGCTGATGCCACAAGCAGTGTTGATTGTAGTCTGCTCGTGATTTGCATGGACATGGTGACGATAGTCATGTCATGTTGGTGAGGCAGCGTGTGACGAGCTACTTATGTCATGGTGCGATGATGTGATGTTCATATTGCTGACATTGACGACGACGATGATGAGGAGGAGTAGCAAAAGATGTTGGTGGTGGTGATGTCTTTGCCTAAAAAGGTCGGTTATGACCATTAGTTTGTGGCAGTCGCATACTCTGCGAAGAATCCACAGCCTGGACCCTTGAGAACCACCCAACCTAATTTTAATCTAAACCTCAAGAGTGGTATGATCCATTCGTAGGTTTATTGTTTTGGATGCTCGAAGGGGGGTTCGGGAGGAACTCGAACCGAAGTATAGACAGGACAACCCCCAAATTCTGAAACCGTTGGAAAAGCCTTCAATTCTGGCACCCTCGCGGGGCTTTCATAATCAAACACCTAAAAGAACCCTGAAGGCTAACACAGCTATGACACCCTGAAGCCTCCTATAAACAGCCCTTCTCAAATCCAACAATAGCAGACCCTGGGTAGTCATGTCCCTTAGACCCTTTTACAACTTGTCGTAAAGCCCTCCAACACCCTTTACCAACCTATCAAAATCTATGAATGAAGGATACTGAGTTGGCAGGATGCTGACATAGCAGTTGCAAAACTACATAACTGCAAGCACGTTCTGAAAACCTAAACACGAATTACAAAACGATACTGGGGTCCTTAAGGCGTAACCCGACATTCTAAACCCCTTAGAGCCAAAGCTCATGTGTTCACAACACTAAATCCTAAACCTGAAAGTCTAAACCTTTAACCCTAAACCTTGGACCCTAAACCCTCAAACCCTAAACTCTGAACCCTGAAAACCCTTAAACCCTAAAGCCTACGCCCTCAACCTGAAACGCCAAACCTTAAACCCTAAACCCTAAAACCCTGAACCCTAAACCCTGAACACTAAAAACCTTAAAACCCTAAACCTTGAACCCTGAACCCTGAACCCTAAAACCCTAACCTTATACATATACCTTAAACCTTACCTTATACATATACCTTAAACCTTAAGCCTTTAAACTCTAAAGCCTGAACCCTAAAAACCCTCAAACCCTAAAACCCTAAAGCTCTAAACCCAAACCCTAAAGCCCTACGCCTTTTCCATATACTTTAAACTTTATACCCTGAACCCTGAACCCCAAAAACCCTTATTTCTAAAAGCTAAAACCCCAAAACCCTAAAAACCTTTAATTCCAAAAACCTAAAATTAAAGATTTACGCCCTAGCCAGGTCCAGGGTCTCCGCGAGGTCTTCAGCCTCTTCGATCCCGACGGGCCGGGAAGGGGGGCGGGCGTGTGCACCGAGCTTTCTGTGGTATGCATAATTACGCAGTTTGGTTATGCAGTTATGCAGCTACTGTATCTTTCTTTGTCCTGAAGGTGTTAAGTCGTAGCTGTAAAGTGTATGTTCCCCAAGAGCAGCGAGGTTCTCAATCCTCAAATATTCCAATCTGACCGAGCACAGGGCCAACTAAGCCAGCCCATTTGTGTTTTTTACTTGCTGCTGCTACTACTGCCCCCTGATGCTGTTGTCCTCCTCCTCCCCCGCCCCCTACTCCTTCGTATCCTACTGCTTTTACTGCTGCTAGTACTGTGTCTACGGCGATGAGAACGAGGAGGAGGACGTTTTCACTAGCCTTGTCTCCATCTGTTGCTTCTGCGCTCCTAGCAGCACAGGTCCGGCCGAGTGTGCCCGAAAACCATCGCCAAGTCGGCGTCCACTGCGGGTTTGGAGCGGGACTCTCCGGAGGTGCCAGCCGACGACTCTTCACTTTCTCAGCATGCTTATCAACGCGGTCGTCTGTGTCGGGTACAGAAACAAGTAGAAAGATAAGTGAATAAGTATAGACACACACACACACTCACGCATACACGCATATGGATATAGACATAGATATAGATGTAGACATAGTTATAGACATAGATATAGATACATACATGCATACACACATACATCCACATAGTATATATATATATATATATGTATACACATGCAGGCAGATAAGTTTGTTACTGTATAGCTCTACTGACATGCATATGTCTTCAACGGGTTTTTCATATGTGCGTACATATATATATATATATATATATCTATATGTATACACATAAGCTTCACTCCAAGTTGTGTGGTTTGCTGTTGCATCGTCATACATACTGGCGCTCGGGAAGAGAAAGAGGAAAGAAACGACAAACGCGTTGGCACCACTGATCTTGACTTCCGTACGATCAGTCCTGCATCGATTCATCCACGAGCGTTTCGCCGTGACCCAGCCCTAAAGCCCAAACATCGCCCAAACAACAACCGCGAAGACCCCAGGCCCTTAACCCAAGGACTCTAGGTCCCCGACCGTAAGTTGGGTCTCCGTTGTTGTTTGCAAACATCTCGTAGCCTACACTTTACATGTCAGGGTAGCAGCTAGCCCTGGATTTCGCAGCAAGATTGTGATCAGTGAAATCAGGGTTTCTACTCGTTAAAGCCCGAAGCGAGAGCATCCATCGTGATGGAGTTCTTTCAGCACCAGCGCAGCCCCTCCTCGACACGCTAAAATATGTCAAACCTCCAAGCATACATTTCTGCATACTGAAAGTCTTACATAAAGCCCAAAACCCCGAAACCCTAAACCCTAAACCCTAGACCCTGAACCCAAAACCCCAAACCCCAAGCCCCCAGCCTCGGAAAAGCCTCGGAATTCCCAGTATCGGGAGTTCTGTATTTCGGGCTCCGTAAATGTCGGATGTCACCACGTGACAGGGCCGCATACTTGGAGGATCATGGGACTTAGTAAGTAAGGTTATAGGTGCCTTAATTGGAGTTATAAGTCGTTATTATTAGTAGAGTTACCCTAATTAAAACCTTAGTTACTAAGTCCCATGATCCTTTACGTACACCCTAAACCCTAAACCCCATATATAGATCTATCGATCCCTTTAAGGAGCCCTTTAAGAACCCTAGTTACTACGTCTTAAGTATTCGGTACTATTCGGTACCCTGCTTTCGGAAACTCCAGGTTCTGAGCATCGAGCTCCCCCCAAACTCGAAAACCTAAACCCCTAAACCCCTAAACCCCCAAACCCCCTAAAACCCTAAAACCCTGAGCCCCAAACCCTAAACTCCTAAAACCCTGAACCCCTAAACCCATAAACCCCTAAACCCTAAACCCTAAACCCCAAGCCCCAAACCCTAAAAACTCTGAACCCAGGACCTCCACCTGACAGATCCAATGGGTCTGAATTTGCACCCAAACCCCAACCCTACTTGGAAGGGCAGGGGACTTAGTTAGTAGGTTGTAAGTAGAGTTATAAGTACCCTAAAAGGAGTTACCCACTTATAACCCTACTTATGAACGACTTACTAAGTCCCCTGCCCTCCAAGTACACTCTCAAGCCTGCCGACTCGGAGGTGTGGCGTCTCTTGAGCTGGTTGGAGAGCGAGAGCTACGAGAGCGTGGATTTCGAGGACGGCTCAGGTTTCTTGGATTCTTGGAAGTTCATGTCAGTTACCATTTATTGATCTACAAGGGTTCCTTTAAGGGAGGTATGTACGGGTTCCTTGAAGGGTTTAGGGGTTACGGTTTAAGTTACCAGAATAGGGACCTATAGTAAATGATATTGCTGATTTTTTATGGTAACTTCGTTAAATCCCTTGACCCTGAACCCTAAACCCTAAACCCAAATCCATTGACAGGGGCTCAGATTTCGAGTTTTCCTTTCAGGGCTCCTTCAAGGTTCCTTTGAAGGAACCCTTATAGGAGGCCGTGGCCGAGTAAGGGAATACGGCAGAGCTAGTAGTTTTGGGTTTAGGGTTTTGGGTTTTGGGTTTCGGGTTTAGGGTTCAGGGTTTAGGGTTTTAGGGTTTTAGGGTTTTAGGGTTTTAGGGTTTTAGGGTTTTAGGGTTTAGGGTCCCCGGTTTCGAAACCCCTCAACCCTAAATCTTGAGAATATCTTATGTCTCTCAAAGGTCAATGGTTTTCGCAAGGACTTGTGGTTACATCTGCAAAGGTCTGTATACTGGTTTCCGGTTTTAGGGTGGTCCCTTCAAGGACTTTAATGCTTTTCTAAACGGTTATATAGTGCTTTTTGGAAGGCGCAGCATTTCTGTTGGTTTCGGTTTTTTGGGGCTTTGTGTGTTGGGATCTTTAGCTAGGGCTTGAGGTGCAGGGTTTCGGTGCTGAGGGTTTTAGGGTATTAGGGTGAATCCATGAGTCATGGCATGGCCATGTCCTGCCCCAAGCCTTAGTCCCTCGACCTTATTCCTTACGATCCTAGCCTGAACCCTAAACCCTAAACCCTAAACCCTAAAACCCTAAACCCTGACGCCTAAACCCGGATCTCTGATCCCTAAGGCTCTAAGTTACCAAGCCCTGAACCCTCGTGAGACGGTGCGCATGTTCGCATCAAGCGTGGGAATGTAGGGACGTTGATAAGTGGAACATGGCTTTGGGGTATATACTAGTAGAAGTCTACTGGTGAACCCCTGGCAACAACATACCCAAATACCCCTAAATCGGAACCCTTTTAAGGACAAGACCCTCGACATTGAGGACCCCCTGGTGTAGGTCGTAGCTTCCCCGCAGCTTTTTGAAGGTGGGCTCTCCAGGAACGTTTTCTCCGGGCTTCCAGCTCTTTTCTCTACTTGGGAGGATCAGTCAGGGGTTTCGGGTTTAAGGTTCTGTAAGGGTCGCACGAATCAGCATTCTGAAGGGAGTTTGGGCTGAAGGATTGGAGGTTAACAGACTCGGTTCGAAGGGCAAAAAGAGCTGTTTACATGAAATTGCATCTTCGGGCAGCCTTGAAGAGCAGAGTATAAGGCTTCAGGGTTAGGGGTCTCCTCATCTTGGGGGAGGAAGAGTGTTTGCTTCCTCCTCGGATTGGCCTTTGTGCCAAAAAGCAACTGGCCATGAGCACGCCGCCGACCCAGAGCTATGGATCTTACGCTTCAAACTCCTCCTCCGGGCAGCTGCCGGTCATGCTTGGGTGCCGGGGCTCAGCATCGAGTGAGAGGGGTCGGGATTAGTAGGGTTTAGAGTGAACTGCAATCTTATTATATTCGGTTGTACTTCCGAACCCTGTTCTGAATCTTACGGTTTCAGGTTTAGGGTTCAGGTTTTAGGGCTTAGGTGGCAAGTCGGCTCCAGTCCTACTAGGTTGGCCGCAGTGTGCAGCTGCGGGAATTGAGTCTCCAAGCCATTCCTTCAAAAAATAGGGATACCTTATTTTGGAGTCCTTGTAATTTGGATCCTGCGATTTAGGGTACCATGTGAGGGTCCCCTGTTTTCGGAAACTCCTTCAAAACTTCAACACCCTGACCCTCGCAGAATTCAGCAATCTCTAAACCGACCTAACCCGATACTGACATCCCAAGACCCAACTCCCAAATCCTGAAATTATAGGATCCTTAAGGGAGGGTGGTTCGAGGGGGGAGGGTATAAGGAATCCTTAGGGGACTGTAAGGGAACCTTAGGGAGTACTAGGGAGAATTAGGGATCACTAGGCTATATACCCCCCTTGGAGCCCCCTCCCTTAAGGATACTATAATGAAACCCTCAAACCCTGAAACCCTGAACTCCAAATCCCGAGCCAACTCTTGGAGAGCCCTCGCAGTAACCCGCCTCAAGACCATCGAATCCCTATGAGCTCATCAGTCATAATCCTGCAAGGCACCAATAAAAGCACCCTGTAGAGTGAGACTATAGAGCCCTCCAAAACCCTACAGAAACCCTACAAACACACTCCAAAATCCGGCAAAAGGCCATAACGCCCTCTAATCTTTAACCCTAAAGCCAGAATCCTCTATTACCTTACAGAGGGCCCTCAATCCCAATCAGGCGAAAGCCACAGGATGTGAAGCTCGAGCCAAAAGGTGGCGAGGAGAAGAGGAGCTTTAGGGTTTAGGGTTTAGCGGGCTTTAGGGGCTTAGGGTTTAGTTTGTTTAGGGTTTTAGGGTTTAGCAGGTTTAGGGGCTTAGGGTTTAATTTGTTTAGGGTTTTAGGGTTTAGCAGGTTTAGGGGTTTAGGGTTTAGTTTGTTTCGGGTTTTAGGGTTTGGCAGGTTCAGGGGTTTGGGGTTTAGTTTCTTTTCTCCCAGTCTTCTGTACGGGAGCCCCCAGAAGCGAACCCTCAAAGGATCCGTAAAGGAGCCCGAACACTTAAGGGAACTCTGATTTAAGGGTTCCTTCAATTTTAATTTTGGGGGGGCCTCTGAGGGGGTCTCTACAAAGCGTAAAGGGTCTGATCAGCGTTTCGGGTTGAGGCTTCAGGGTTTTTCTCTAGGCTTGGAGTCCAGCGGTTGCAAGTTTCGGGTTTTGGGTTTAGGGGTTTAGGGTTTAGGGTTTAGGGTTTAGGGTTTTGGGGTTTAGGGTTTAGGGTTTAGGGTTTAGGGTTCAAGCTTCAGTGTTTGCTGTTCGGTTTTCGGGCTCACAAGGTGAAGGTGGGTTTAGGCTTGGGGTGGTTGGCCTGGTTTCAAGGTCATTATTCTGAGACGTCATGCCAAGAGGTTTTCTTCGGGGCATGGCTTCGATACGGTTTCAGGCAAAGAGAAACATGCTTGGAAACTGTTGTTATCCGGTTGTTTTGTGTTTTTGCGGATATTATGTCTTCACCGTTGTGTTGGGACGGAAGAGGTGTCGGTTGGTCTTCTGTTAGTGCGAGTTACTTGTGAATTATTGGTGTTGCTTTTGCCATCACTGCGCTTCCAAATAGCCACCAGCTGGGGTCATTACTTGGAGGGGCAGGGGATTTAGTAAGTCGTTCATAAGTAGGGTTATAATTGGGGTAACTCCACTTGGGGTACTTATAACTCTACTTCTAACCTACTTACTAAGTCCCCTGCCCTTCCAAGTATGTACCTAGCCGAGTGATACGGCTGCCCCGACAATGAACAAAATGCCCAGACGTCTGGAGTGTCCTATCCGAGTCTTCTCTCAAGTTGGGATTGTAGTATCCTTAAGGGAGGGGGGTCCAAGGGGGGTATATAGCCTAGTGATCCCTAATCCTCCCTAGTACTCCCTAAGGTTCCCTTACAGTCCCCTAAGGATTCCTTATACCCTCCCCCTTGAACCACCCTCCCTTCAGGATCCTATAATGGGAGTTTTCGAAAATAGGGGACCCTAATATAGTACCCTAAATAGTAGGATCCCCATTATAAGGGCCCCAGAATAAGGTGCCCCTAATTTTCGGAAACTCCCATCTGGGTTGGTGTCTCGGCTGTGTCCGTCGTGTTTTGTGCCCGTCGTGTTTTAGTGGATGTCCGCTGGTCGATGTCCCAATCCGTGTCGCTGTCACTGTCTGTGCCCTTGCCTTCGTCACAGACACTATGTCCGAAACAGTTTCCGCATTTGTATAAGCACTTGATGCAGTAGTCGATGCAGCAACTGCTCTCAGTTTTATGCTAGTGCCGCGTGCAAACTACCGGTGATAAGCCGGCCTGGCCTGACAGGGATTGTCTGCGGGTTTTGGGCTGGCATTGTGAGGTTGCGGGCTGTTGGGTCTGCAGGGTTTAGGGCACGTCGGAGGGCTTGCAGAAGCAAGTCTTCCTTGCAACCTTTTTTAAACTCTGACTTACAATTTCGTGTTTCATCACCCGAAGCCAAGGGCTGTTGGCCCCTGAAATTCAAACCGGTTGCCCAGCCATGTGTTACAGAAGACAAGACCACTAGCCTGGCCAGGGGTCGCGAAGACGTTCGCCGGATGAGCACCAAGAAGCGCGGTCTGGACACCCTGTTCTTATACGGGGCGAATTAGAATCGGTGCTTTGGGTATAGTATAGCTATCTGGGACTTTGCAAGGAATACTATGACTTATGACTCCGACCCCTACATTAATTGTTTGAGGAGTGGGCGCCCGAGAAGGGCTAGTGTTCAGGCTGCAACATCCTTATACTCCGGGTCAGACAAGCTCCTGAATTCAAAATCCTTCAAGACGACGCAAGCCGTAGATCTTGCATCCGTGAACACTGCAAGATCGTGTCTGTGAGGATACAGCTCTTATTGCTTACCTGGCAGTTTGTCTTTTCCCTTCCTTGCGTGTTCTATCGGGGTTGATGCATAGAGAGTGGTCTCCTGGCTGTTCAGCGTCGTATGGCTTGTTTTGGTTCAGGGCTATACGGCTATACTGTATAAGTTCCTAGAGTTCCCGGCGGCTAAATCAACCCGAAATGGGGGTGATGCCCCCGGACTTCCGGGTACCACTTTTCCGAAGCCGCGGCAGTGAACGTGCCTGAGTTTCGCATTTTGTCCATGCTTCTTCGTCGGGATTAGGGCAGGTTGAAGGGACAAAGACATCCCTTAAAAGCCTTAAACCCTGAAACCCTGAGCCCTAAACCCTAAACCCTCAAAAGGTTTCATAGGGCTCGGGATGAATAGGCTATAATGTACTACATCACATTACATTGCTTTGTAATAGACCGTAATCTACAATATTATACTATATCATACCATGACAGATGGTACTATACCAAAACATACAATACTGCCATAACATACTATGGTAGAGGAAGGTAATTTACTCTCCCTAACCCCCAAACCCTAAACCCCAAATCCCAAAACCCCAAACCCCAAAACCCTAAACCCCTAAACCCCAAAACCCTAAACCCAGAAGCCCTAACCCCTAAACCCCTAAACCGAAAAGACTACTCCGGCATTTTTTCGGGCACCGGGACCCCAAGAACAGGACTCAAAGCCGACGAGACCCGGCCGCAGCCGGAAGTGCTAGCTTGTGGGTTTAGGGTTTTAGGGTTTAGGGTTTAGGGTTTAGGGTTTAGGGCTGCTAATGTTCCGCCCCAAACCCAAAGCCAAGCCGACTGAGGCTTCAGGGTCGAGCCCCCCAAAGGGCACATAAGCAAATGTAAGGATGTCCCATATGGGTGGTTGTCAAACTTAGGGCCCCTTTTTGGGTACCCTAAATAATAGGTGCCGTATTATGATAAGGACCCCGCAAAAGGGACCATAATTTTGACAACCACCCTTGTCATAGGAGGCCAAAAGGGGGTTGTAGCCTATGGGGGTTTAGTAGGGATTAGGGTTTCCATAATAGGGTTCAAATTAGGGTTCAAATTACCGCAAGAATCTGAAACCCCTCTTTTGGCCTCCCATCAGCTTGGGCTTCCAGTTCGGTGTTGTTTTTATGGTAGATCATAGTCGATTGCAGTTTATCATAGTATATTATAGTGTCATCTAGTATATCATGGTACATTATGGTATAACATATTATAGTACAGTATATGTTATGGTATAGTATGTTGGTTTTGGGTTTAGGGCTTGGGGTTCAGGGTTTGGGTTTTGGGGGCCAGGGCAACGGCCTCTTTGCTGAGATTTGAGTGGTGATACAGGGAGGAAAAGAGTGAAGCAGTGAAGCAAGCAGAAGCAAACAACATGTAACCCAGCGAAGGTAGGCTTCGGCGGGTACTAATCGCAACAACTTACGATCAGTTTTTCAGCCAGTCGGGCTACATACTTCCAGGTACCTACTTTTAACTGCTAATTAGCTAAATGATGAGCAATCAGTAAACAAAAATGCAGAATGGTGGATGGTTGGATGGATGGATGGACGGAGGGATGGATGGATGGACGGATGGGAGGGTGATTGGAAAGATGGATGGATGGCTGGCTGGATGGATGGGATGGATGACTGGATGTATGGATGCATGGGTGCAACCTCTCCCTAGAAGAATGAGGTATGACCATACACACAAAGCAGTGCGCTCAATGATATGGGCACTTACCTGTACATGCACATATACATAATATACATATGACCTGTAGAAGCGCACTGGCACTTGTACAGTTACCCACATCTCTGATATCGTTTGTCGGGAGTTGGTGAAGAAGTATTGGGGACACCTGGGAAACAGGGTCAACAATACTATGTTCGTTTCGATCACCCGGCATCGCCTCTGTCGTGTTGCCATTCCCTTTTTTTGCTGTTCGTTCGCCTGCTTTCCTAAATATCTGGTTGTTCACAAACCCAAACCCTAAACCCTAAACCCTAAACCTTGAACCCTAAACCCTAAACCCTAAACCCCAAACCCTACCGCAAGACCCCCTAGTCGGGCCTTCTGCCCTCAACCCTTAACCCTGATCTTCATAGTCTTTTTGGCGCTTAGCAGGGAATGGGGGAGTGGATTATTGGGACTACTAATGGGGATTATGCAGGGACTACTATAAGGATCCATTCCCCCATTCCCTACGAAGCACCAGGGACTAATCCGAAGCGGTGTGCTGGAAAGCCGAAGTCAGGAGCCCCAGATGCTGCCCACAGACTCAAATATCCCTTAATTAAGGAATGTACCTTAAATTACAGTAGGATCCCTACTGATTCTAGTTATATTCCTTGATTAAGGGATATTGGAGTCTCTGGGTAGATCTTTGATCCCTCAAGCGCCAAACGCTGCAACGTAAGCCACAGCCTAAAACTCTCAAGGCCCTATCCTACGATTTAGTAGGATGCTCCAACACAGTAGTTCATTGTTTGTGAAGCCTTCGATACTTGTTCTCAGACATGATGTCGGGCTAAAGATCACGTCTCGCTTCAATTCGTGCAAGTAGCGGCGCAGTATGTCCCCCACGTTGTACATCGGAACGGGGATTATCCTAACCCTAAACCCGGTCTTGGGATCTGATGGTACGAGGCTTGGGGTCTGGGACTTAGGCTTTGGGAGATCTAAGTTTCGGGGTTTGGGACTGTAAGCTTGGTTCCTGTCACTCGGAGAGGATTTCGGGGTACCAAACAACACCATTAACACCGAAATCTACATGTATAAATAATCTCACAGATGCCTATCAATTTGCCGAGGTTGAACTTCAAGACGGCAGCAGAAGAGCTTGTCTTCGGGCAGGTTTCTGGGCGAAAGAACACTTGCTGGTACACCAACCTCCCCACACCCGGTCACACCCACTATAGGGGCCTTAATATTTACCTGGTTCTTCATTTTAAGTATAGTATAATAGGCGCCAAAACTTAAAATCCTATTAACCTACTATAACTGTACTCCATATATGGGTACCAAACCACAGGCCTTTTAAAACCGGGTAACTAATTATCAAGGCCCCCACTCTACGGTTTCTAGGCTGACACGAAGTGGGCGGTTGTCAAAATTATGGTCCCTTTTTGGGTCCTTAATATAGTACGGCACCTAATATTTAGGCTGCCCAAGAAGGGACCATAATTTTGACAACTACCCAAGTCGAAGCTCTTCGTAGGCCATCCTCCAGAGCCGGTTTTGGGATACTGATTCCACCTGTGCTTCCCATACTTGGAGGATCATGGGACTTAGTAAAAGGGCTCCTTAACGGGATCTGTAGAGCTCCTTAAAGGGATTTATAGGGTTTAGGGTTTAGGGTCTACTTGGGAGGATCATGGGACTTAGTAGGCAAGGTTAGAAGTACGACAATTGGGGTTTTTTCAGTGCTTATAAGTAGAGTTACCCTAACTATAACCCTAGTTACCAAGTCCCATGGTCCTTCAAGTATTATCCTTTCAGATCGCCGAGGCCCAAGCCCGCTACATCATGCATGGTTGCGCGTGTTTCAGTGGGCAGTTCATAGAAAGGAGCGCTTCAGATAATATTGGTATTTATTTAGGGCCCTATATATAGTATAATGGGCCCCCAAAACCCTATTCTAACTAGTAAGGCCCGTTATATAAAACCCTTGCAGTAGCCCTTAAAGCCTGTAGACCCCTTTAAAGGAACCTTAAGGGACCCTACCTTACGGATCCTCCGGACCATGTTTAGATCGAGTGCCCCGAGGCCTTGAAGCAAGGATAAGCTCTACACCCGGCAGCCTAATGTTGGGGCTTTGGTAATGGGGTTTAGGGTTTAGAGTTTGGGGTTTAGGGTTTAAGTTTTAGTATAAAATACCCCCAAACCCTATTCTAATCATTAAGGCCCCCACATTAGACTCTACACTCACCACTAACACCCTAACCTTTCTGGGTGGGTGAAGTCGGACAAGCTTCGGCTTCTTGAATTTCCGCTTGTTTACGGTTTCACTTGTATCATTTCACGAATTAAGCAAATTAGGTTATGTTCAACATAGATATTGATAGTTTATTAGTTTTACATATAAGCAAACTTCGAAAATTTGTTTAGTTTCAGGTGCAGGTTTTAGGGCTTCAGGCTTGAAGCCCAGACCAAAACGAAAAGCAACGGGTTACAGCAGTGTCCAGGGCTTAGGGCTCAGGTTTGAAAAGCATACGCCTCAACGTGAATCTAAACCAAAACTCGATATCCCCCAGAGCCGTACAATTGTCACAACAGCCCCGAATTGTCACAACAGCCCCGAATTCCCCAAGGCCTTGAATGCCCTCAACCTTAAACCCTAGCTAAACCTTAGACCCTAAACCCTAAACCTTAAACCCTCAAACCCCTCCAAAAAGCAGGTCTACATAGCTTTGCATCTCACCCGTGGAATCGACCATGCGAATGTTCGGACGAAGGATAGTCGCCCGGCTGTTCTACCAGAGTTTTTCGCTAGGGTTCCTTTAAGGGGTTCCTTTAAATGGGTCTACAAGGATTACCGAAAAGGGGTATCATGGGGGTTTAGTATGGGGGCCTAGAGTATTTTTGGGCTTCGTTGTTATGATCATAGTATGATGGGCCCCAAAGCATTGTTCCAACTATTGGGGCCCCTCTTTTACCAGCGTTTTCACAGGGGGTTTCGGCGCTTAGGGTGTAGGTTTTCAGGGTTTGTGGTTTAAGGTTTAGGGTTTTGGGCTTGAGGTTTAGGTTATCGGGTTTGGAGTTCAGGGTTAGTTAGGGCTTCGGGGGGTATGGCGACGCTTGACAGTTTCAGTCGTTGCAGGAGGGTTTCAGGGATCCTATGAGATACTGGCCGCGAAGCTTTTGCGGTTTCCGGGTTTGGGCTTTTGGGGCATTCTGGCGACCTTGGTCCAAGTGCTGGGACACTGCTCCGCACAGAATGGATAGGGTCCATGCGTTCCGAATTCAAGTGTCGAGGGGTCGATGCTCAGGGTGCAGAGGTTTGGGAAACTTAGTCTCCACTCCGCTCTAAACCCTAAACCCTAAACCCTAAGTTCTGCAGCTCAAGACCGTGAATTCAAAAGCTCGATCGACCCAGAAGCATCGAAACTCGATACCCTCAAAAGAGCCCCGTACGAGGCTAAGCCCTAAACCCCAAACCCGAAAGGACAAGCCCTAAACTCCTAAACCTTAAGCCCCATGTTCCAACTTTCTAGGGTTCCTTAAACCCTAAAACCCTAAACCCTAAAACCCAAAACCCTAAATCCTGAAACCTAAACCCTAAACCCTAAAACCTTGAACTCTAAACCCTGCGCCGAAGAGCTCCCAGGCTTCTACATCGTGGGAAATCGGAACCATATACTCTCCTTGAATGCCGTGTGGTTGGACAGGGAACAGCTCGCCACTCTCTGCAAGGCACGGGGAAGGGCTTAGAGGTTCATAAGGGGGCCAATTACAGGTTCCAGAATGGCTTTGGGTTAGGGGGTTTCCGAAAATTGGGGTACCCTTTGTTGGGATCCTTGTAATAAGGATCCTGCTATTTAGGGGTACTATATTAGGGTCCCCTGCTTTTATAAAGGTTCTACGAAGGCTTGTGGCACAGTGTAGCTTTTGTGTAGTGGTTCTCTCTAAGGCCTCTCAGCTGCAAGTCGTCAACCGTTACACTGCCACTAAACCTAAGCTCTAAACCTAAAGCCCCAAACCTTGAACCTTTAAACTGTGATTTCAGGTCCCGATGATAGTTCCAGAAGATAAAGATCGCCAACAGCACAGTCGAGTCATCAGGGCCCCAAGGTCTCGTGGGTATTGAATCTGAAGCACTGCTATTGAAGCGCTAAGCCCGGATGCAATGGTTTGATGTTAAGGGCCTTGCATGCTCCTCAGATGCAGAGGACGTGAAGCGGTTGGGAGCCAAACTGCATCTTTTCGAAGCTGAACCGTACGCTTTGTGCAAGAAAGACGCTCAGCTGGACTCAGTGTTTTTTTGTAATGGTTTGTTGGGGTGTAGGGTTCAAGATTCTTAGGGCTGGAGGGGTTTAGGCCTAGGGCGTTGACTCTAGGGCGTTGATTCTAGGGCGTTGAGTGCTTCTGGTTCGCGGGTTCACTTACATGTTAAGGGTGTCAAAGTTTGGTATTTAGTATTTCGGTGGTCGGGACACTTCGGCTTACCGCGAGCCTGAAACACCGGATATACTTCGCTCAACTCTAAACCCTGTACCCGAAACCCTAAACTCCGAATCCCAAACCCTAAACCCTGAAACCTGAGCCCTAAACCGTCGAGCTGTCAAGGCGGTTCGTTTTCGCATCTGATCTTTGTGAGACGGGTCTGGAGGGTTGCAGTCCTGTTGCGAGCTGACTTGGGCAGGAATACAAAGGAAGGAGATGGCAACTTAGCCAAAAAAGCCTACTACCTGGAGCTAGTGAGCGTTTGTAGCGTGCTGTTAATGTGGGGTCTGAAATATTTGCCAATACTATTTTGGGGGGTTCCTGATTACAACTACAGTATAATATACCCCAAAATCCTATTCTAAATAAGGCCCCTATAGTACGAGTTTGGCTGTGGAGCCGAAGTTCTGATTTCGGAAGAGGGTTTCAGAGAATCGAGCTTGAGTTCGAAGTCCTTGGTTTGGGGAACAAAAGTAGTCGAGCCCTTATACTCAAGTGCATGCAACATCCCAATAACAAAAATGTCAAGCACCGGTGTACGGCCTTCCTTCATACGACAGCATTTTAGGGCGCAAAGGAGCTGAACTCTGCGTGAGTGCGATAGTCTGAAGTAGTCAGTAAGAACACTAATGCCAGTAAGGGTAGTGATACTTGAAGCAATGTTTATGTTGTGGTGGATGCAGTTGCCCCTGGCGACACATCCCAGCTTGCCACTACCATGCCGACTCTCAGGAGAAGTACATTTCGCTATGCAGCCTCACTGCAAGTCAGATGCCAGCCCGAAAGCACGAAGACCGGCAGGGCACCCAAGTACCCCTTGACCCAAAACCCTAAACCCTAAACCCTAAACCCTAAACCTTAAACCCTAAACTAAACCCTAAAATCTCAATCGAAACCGTCCTGAACCCCACACTACAAATTCCCGCGAACAGCGTTCCTGCAAGCAGTCCACCGGATCAACTAGCGGCGTGTTGGCCTAGATCCGGTTTTCGTTTAGGGTTTAGGGTTTAAAGTTTGGGGGTTTCGGCGTTTATTTTGGTTGGAGGGTTTCAGGTTTCACTCGACATTTCAATCCGTGATCCCTGATGCCTGATCCCTTAACGCCAAGCTCTGATTCTGCAGCTCCTGCTTCCCGTAGTATAGTCCCCCATACCGAGTTACCCCATTGGAAGGCAGAATTTCAGTTCCCCTGCGGGTCAGGAGTATCATCACGGTTCTCCATCGTGGTTGTTGCAGAACCCGAAGTGTTCGTGGTGATTTGAGTATGGTGGCCTGTGCCACTGCCATCGCCCTTGCCACCGTCATCATCATCATAGTCACACTGTTCTTCTCCTTCTCCTTGGTTCTAAACCTTGAACCCTTAAACCCTAGACCCTAAACTCTCAACTAGGAAAGGGGCCATTGCACTTTAACAAAAAATTCTCAACCATAAACCACAATTCCCAGGTATGTTTGTCATCACATGCCTCCTTACAATCGGCGCCACGGCCTCGTCCATCCTGGACTGGGAGGATGGCAAGGCAAGGACACCCGCTGTATGGGCTTAGGGTTTAGGGTTTATGGTTAAGGATCCCTCAAGGCGTGCTTTTACGGGCTTTAAATCAACAGCCAATGCTAAACCCCAAGCCCAATCCCAGCTGAGAACAGCCAAAGCCCAACAGACGGACCACACGTTAAACTCAAAAGCCTATATCGTCAGCCCCAGACCGCAAGCCCTAAATGCGTGATTGGAGTGATGCCCTGCAGTATGGGACGCATGTTGTGTACCGCGAGGCTGTTCTTTTCTCGAAGAAAAATCGATGCATCTCTTTGGAGGCCCCAGGGTTCAGTGTGTACCTTAGGGTTTCTTATCCGTTTAATCAATCATCTTTGGCATAGTTCACGTAGGTTATCAGCCGTAGGTAGCTTTAGGGCCCCTGTAAGGTTTGTCCTAGGTGTCTTGAGCAGGGTGTAGGAAGCCTGTGGCATGGAGCCCATGTTTCGAACACGAAGAGGCTCTGCACCCTCTGGAGATCATGAGGCTACGGGCGAGTGTCTTGAAGAGACATACGGAGCAGCTTTGGGCCAAGGAGCAAGAGCGGCTTTGGGAGCGAGTATTTCCCCGAGCGTTCGTCAGGGTGAAGCTTCGCCCAACACGTTGGAGCAAGGAGGGGCACCTGGGCCATCGGGGCTGGGTGTCGCCGCCAGCCCTTTTCATAGTGACAAAGTGAAGGGTGAGATTGCTCTTATGCAACAGCGCCCGACATCTTTAGATGAGGAGGAAGCCCGACTGCAAGCCAGCCGGGACCGGACTTCTGGTGGTGAATGGGTAGGCGACAATGGGGCTGAACCCAACTATGCAGAAGCGTTCAAGGGCGCAGGAGTCAATCGGCCTTTGGGTGATGTTTCAGGACCCAGGGTGGCTCGAGTGGAGCCGTCAGCTGAGGATGAAAGAGGAGTATCTGGATCCAGCCCGGGGGGTATAGGACAATTTCCACTGTCTGGGTATGGCCTGGAGGAGCCGAAGTCTACTGGGATGATGGTGGGAATGGAGGGAGAGACTAGCCCTTCCCGCACTGTTCATGGTGGAGAAGAGGAACTGCTCCCGGACCAGTCCACGAAATTGGATGTCGAGGGCCTTCTACGACAGATGATGGAGGAGAACCGAGTCCTCAAGCGTCGTCTGGAGCAAGTGGAGCTTAGATCGGCTTCGTCTTGGCATAGCGGTGTGGCAGGGGATAGCGGTGTACCCGCTGGATCTCCTATGTCGTTTGCCGCGCCTTCTGGATTTCGTGGGATAGGTCTTGAGCGGGACCTTGCACTCGGTGTACAGGCTACGCCTCCTGAGGGGGCTTGGTTTCCAGATTTCCCAGGTTGCAAGAGTGATGGAGTTGGGTTAGCGGTTGAGAGGTCAGCCGGTATAGTGATCCCGAATCCACAGTCGGCCTTCGGAGGGCCGGGTCCAACTTCAAGGGAGTATGAAAGAGTAGCGTTGGGAGCTTTGGATTCCTCGAGCCTCTCGGTTTCGGGGTGTAATGCTGCTTTGGTACCCTTTAGGGGTGTCCCTGAGGAGGAGGTTCGGGCCCAGACCATGAGGCAGTTTGCAGGTGAGGCTCTGGGGTTTGAGACCCCAAGGTCTACAAAGGTAGGTGGTCCTGGGTTTGACTCGCAGGGTTATCCTCTCTCCCCGGGTGGGACGGTCATCCGTCCGCCTCCCATTCCACCACCGGCATCGCCGCGGCCGCCGCCTGGGATGATGGCAGGCCCGCCTCGCTCGGGTTTGGGTCATTTGCACGAAACGAGTGGTTTGGTAACAGGCGTGCAGGGACTTGCTTCCGGGGCGACGGGGTCAGGGTTTGATCCTCGGGGGGCTGGTTTAGGACACTTAGGGTGTGCAGCTCCAGGGCCGGTAGGTTGGGGAGTGTACCCAGGTTTGGGGGTTAACGAGAGTAGGCCTGAGGAGCCCGCAAAGTATATTAGCGAGTTGCCTAAGTTGGTGCAGGCTGATTTAGCTAGCTCGGCTATAGTATGTGGCAACTGGTTGGCCCAAATCAAACAAATCTTTCTCGGTTTATCTCCTTCGGCGGATGTATGGTATAGCGCTGTAGAGTTAGCGGCACATCAGGGTTATTCCCGTTGGCTAGTGGCGGACCCGCTAGGAAGGTTGGGTCTGGATCCGAGTGCTGTGGTAGCAAGTTTCGACGGTCATAAGTTTCAGAGAGTGGAGTCGAGGGCGGTCACTTTGCTACTAGCATCGGTTCCTGCCTCTGTAAGGGATGACATTATCACTAATAGATGGCTTAGTACTGCGTCTATTTTGTTTCGCATTCTCTGCGCGTATCAACCTGGAGGATCTAGCGAGCGGGCTCAGCTGTTAGGGCAGCTAGTGTCCCCAGAGGTTTGCCGTGGTTTTCAGGAAGCGGTTAAGGTCCTCAGGAAATGGCAGCAGTCGCTGCAGCGTGCCAGCGAAATCAAGGCAACTTTGCCTGATGCTTCACTGCTTTTAAAGGGGGTCGATGCTGCAACAGCTCCTTTGCTAGCGAGTAGTCCTATGGTTGGGTTCAGGGTGAACTCCTTTAGACATAGCATTGCTTTGGATTACAATCCTACCACTGTGGGTGTTACCCAACTTGTGAGACTTCTTCAGGCAGAGAGCGAAGCGGCAGCATTGGTAGAGACTTCCGGAGGAGGAGATAAGCGGAATAGGACGGCAGCCCTTAATGCGAGTGGCAATCCTCCACCGGCCCCCCCTAAGCCATCTGGAAGTCCACCTCCGGCTTCTCCAACCACCAGCGGTGGTACCGGTCCGTCGGTAGCTGCTGCGCAGGTAAGTGGGAGTGAGGCTAAAGGGAAAGGCAAAGGAAAGGCGAGTGATGGTACTCCACGTTTATGCCATAAGTTTGGGGATGCTTCAGGGTGTAGGTTTGGGGACTCCTGTATGTTTAAGCACGATAGAGGGAAGGCTAGGAAAGAGAATCGTTGCCTAGCGTGCGGTCAGTCGGGGCACTTTCGCCCAGATTGTCCCATAGTTCCCCCAGAGCTTCGTGTAGTGCAGCAGGAAGCGGCGTCCGATTCCTCCCCAAAGGCTCCCGGGCCTGCCGGTAAAGGGGGTTCTCCTAAAGGGAAAGCGAAACCGAAGGCTGCGCAGGCAAAGGGTGTTGCTGAACAAGGGGAGACAAGGGAGGAATCGGGTACACCAGCATCCTCCGGGGCCGGTCCGAGTTCTGGGACGTCGGTAACACAGGAGTCATTGCTAGCTGAAGCGGCGAAGCTTCTTAAGGGGGTAAGCTTGAAAGCAGTGCATTTAGAGGACCCAGGTCTTGACTTGTCTTGGCTGAAGAGTGCTCTCACGAGTGCGTCCGATCCCGCGTTCTGCTTA